CTGCATTTCGCGCACTCGACACGCACGATCTCCGCAGAGGGTTGCGCTTTCGATTGACGCTGTTCGTCCCGCCCTCCGCCTTTAAGAGAGAATTATAAAGTGGGGAAATGTTTTTTCATTAGGACATCTCCCGTGCTAGTTTTCCATACTCACACTTGCCTACTCATTGCATGCTTGCATGCTCAAAGCATGCTTGCGTACCCATCACTTGTATACTTACTTACACTGCGTGCTTACCGCGTGTCAGTGTGTATGTGTAAGTGTCAATGTCGAAGTGTCAGTGTATGTAGTGCGACTGTAGTGGAAGTGTCAGTGTGTAAGTGTAAGTGTCGAAGTGTCAGTGTTCAAAGGATTTTCCGGAAGAACCCTTCGCAATGCTTTCGGGAAAACCATGAACCTCTTTCCAAACACCAGCCAAAACGCTCAGAGAGCCATCTATGTCTCTCCTAAGGTCCATGACAACAAACAATCTCCTGCCCGCTCTGCTCCATCATCATCAGACCACAACCAAGATGCTACCAGTCCTTTGCCAACTGAGATTGACGCAACGGGCAGCACCTCTCAAGTTAGTGTGGAGTCACCAAAGTATGCAGATGAGCCCCTTTCACCTTGCAAGTTGACTCCTGATGGTGAAGAGTCAAAGGTGAACAGTGCTGCACTCCCACAAGAGAGTGGAGCATGTGATTGTCGAGGCAAACGTATAGATGACAATGAAGAACCAGACACGCTGTCACATGAACTTTCTGGTTACCAAAACTCGCTATTCACAAGTAAAGAACACGCTTCTATTAGGCAGGACCCCTTATCGGGACAAAGTGATGAGATGCAAGTTGACGCTGGTGCCACGACTTCTGTTGAAAGCAATGGGCGACACAAAGACTCCATCACTAGCCTAGGAGAGGGACATGGGCTAGACCTTGGCAAGCCCTTATAATGCTAAACATATCAAAATGAAAACTGGTGCTTACAGGCTGTAAAATTGGTGCATTTCCTGGTGTGTGGTCTGGTGTGCGGCAATGTTTGTCAATTGTGTATGGTTTTATATTTATCAAGGTCAACATAAAAAGTTGCGCAAACCTGGGTGTTGAGACGAATGTGGCTTCATTGAATGGTCAAAGGGCGGTGCTAAACCTGGTGTTGAAATGGATGTTGATGAGTTGAATGGTCAAAAGATTGCGCAAAAACTGGTGTTGAAACAGAAGGGGCTTCATTGCATGGTCCAAGGAGGTGTAAAACTTAGTGTCGATAGTGTCGAAACAACCGTGGAGTCCCAAATCAAAGCACCAGAGATGAAATACAAGATAAATACTAGATCAGCGCTTTGAGATGCGCTGTGCTTTTTCCAGATTTGCAGTGAATGCCTGGCAGGCTTGTCGTCATACACGCGCAGAAGATTTAAAGTCAAAGTCGTGTTCCCACATGCATGTGCCGGACAAATGTTCCGATTTTGGTGATATGATATGATATGTATGATAAGATACGTTGTACTGTGTACGGTACCAGAAAAATCTTGCCCGAACTTGCTTCCGCTTGATGCATTAGCAAAGCCTGCCATGTTGGCAAATTTATATCGGCGGCAGTGTCATGACCGATCCAGAAGCCCCAGCAGCTCTCGAAGAGGTCGGGAAGAGGTCGGGAATAGGTCGGGAAGAGGTCGGGAATAGGTCGGGAAGAGGTCGGGAAGAGGTCGGGAAGAGGTCAGCGGTGCCGGGACTGTCCAGCAGCTTTGGCGAGCAGTGACAGAGTATTTCATCTGCAGTCGTGCAACTGGACCCATGGCCCATGGAGAGGGCACATGCTGTTCAAGGTTCTCCCATTCGAAGCAAGGGTTGTTTCAACTGCGGAGACGCTGGTCATATGCAATCAGAGTACCCCAAACCAAAACGCTGCAAACACTGCGGGAAGAGCGGCCATGTGGCCTCAGATTGTTGGGAGAAGCATCCTGACAAGAGACCATCCAAGAACACCAAGGACATTGGGGCAGACACTGGGAAGAAGCCTTTTCCTTCCAAGGGTAAAGGTAAAGGGAAAGGTAAAAGCAAAGGAAAAGGCAGGGGCAAGAAGGGCAAGCTTCGCGAGGTTGAGGGTGACGAAGGTGACTGGGAAGAGGCTGAGTGGGAAGAGTTTGACCTTGAAGAACCTGAGACTGAGGAGGGCCAAGTGGCCATGGTTGTCAGGTCAAAGCCTGGAGAGGTTTCAAGTGCTGTACCGGGGAGTTCGAGCACTGAGGGGTCAGGGTTTTCCACCAGTGAGCCGGTAGTTCATAGTGTCACTCATCCTCTTGAGTACTTGTTGAGCACTCAGGGCTTGTGTTCGACTGGTTTGAAACTGTGCAGCTTCGGAAGGGGCCGAAAAATTGATCCAACAATGCTCGCAAAAGAAAACAATGTGTGACAAACCGGTTCAAAAATGTAGTATTTACGGCCACTTTTTTACGCCCTCTTGGAGAGCCACTGGTGCGGGCAGTTGTTGTGAAAGCTGCCAGAAACATCACTATTCAGCGACTTGAATCAACTACTCATTGGTCTGAGGATTGCAACGGTCAAACCAATCTGTGGGAAACTGTACTCCGCTGCCAGAACCTCCGAAAAACGTGGATAATAGACGTGACCTCACGGTAAACTTGCACTTCGGGCACGTACTCCCGGGGGCCGTAAATTTGCCGGCAAGAATTTCAAGGTTTTGGAGGCCACAATCAGCTTCTAGAATCCCTCTTCTTTTCTGCAAATGAAGCTTCAAACATGGCTCATCTGAAACAAATAGTAAACTGCACAATGTGCATGATCGACGCAAAACTTAAAGATGGACGTTCATGAAGTGGATGAATACTTTGTAGTAGAGAACCTTTATTTTTTTCAGGGGGTCTGAATATACTAATTTCGGCGCGTTTTGTACAATGAACAAAAATACATGCATTTTGCAATCATGAAAACATATTGAAACATAGACTGTTGAGAGGAGTCGTTTGATTGCGTTTCATGGACCCAGTGATGCAAATGAAACGATAATGAAAGGACAGCCAGGCATGCCTGAAATATAAAACTATGTGACTATGTATTTCCCCTTCCATGGTTTCTCCCACTCCCATTCCTCTCCCAGACACATCTCATGATGCATAATATGCAATTTTCGCGGATGGACATTGACATTGGCAAAAATTTTTGAAAGGAAAGAACAGGACATGACCAAAATGTTTATTTTTTCCATTTTGCGTGTGTTCCAGCTTGAACAACCAACAGACTGCATGTGACATTGAAGCCGCTTGGTTCGCCATGGTTCTAACCAATGTATATATCACTGTCTGAATGGTTTCACATGTCCACAACCAAAATCAACATCTTATTGTAGCTAAAATTTGAGACTTAAACATTTTGTGCGGTGCAGATTTCCACATCCGCCTGAAAAGAAAGGTATTGTTCACCTTGGTGTGTTTCGAAGATACCATCATTCTGTAACTTTTCAGCCGAATACTTCTGCATGAAATGGTTGCAGTTGCTGCCGGTGGTGGCCTGCTGTGGCGTCGAACAGATGCGAAAGAGGCACGGTTTGTTTCCAGATGGTTGGATGCGACGATGTGACTCAGTCTGGCGCCAACAGTGCAGGCATCAAATTTCTTGCCAAATTTACAGGCTGGTTGCACCATTGCAGTTCCTGAGACAACTGCCAGAAGACCAAAACCATGTACACACGTTCTTCTGCTTGCAGGTGGACTCCGCGACATCCTCGTTTCAAACTCGATTTAGCCGTTCGGTTGAATTTACATCAGTTTGAAGAACATGAATGAGACCAAATGATGCAAACCCGCTGCAAACCAGAATAACATTTTAGAAGTGTGACTGACACAGCTTTGTCGTTGAGGTGCTGCGATTGCCACCTCTGCTGTAGACAGTGTTGCAAAGTCGATTTCTAGTGCGCTCGGAGCCGTTCAAGATGGCATGAGAGCACAGATTGAGAAACCTTTTGTGGGTGACTTCTTGCAGCAGAATCCATTGTTAGCTGATGAGAGCTTTGGGGAGCCAGCGGTGGAGACACATGGGAGTGATGAGCACCTGCTGAAGTATGGAGGTCGCCTTTTGGGCGGTTCCACAGCACAAGATGGTGACAGGATGAAGAAAGCTGCTGCAGCGCAGGAGACATTGGTGCGACAAGCAACAATCCTCGACGGCTGCCTGGACGGGGGACAGTATTTGCCTGTCTTCTACATGCTAAAAGTCCGAGGCTCAGAATGCAGAACATGCAGCGCTGATTCAACGCCTGGCCTTAGGATGAAATGGTCCTGAGCCCTGTGGACATTTCCCTCACGCTTGGCTTCACTGCCACACCGTTTATCTTCAAGCCTGGCCTGGCTGTGGCCAGTGACCGGATGCCAATCTTCGGCCGAAAGAGAACTCCTTATTTGGTCTACACCTCAGAGATGCGCTGAGAGGTTTTAAGTTGAAAGGGGGAAGGTTGGCATGTATTGATTGTACTAATTCTTCAGGCTGGAAGCATGCTGCTGGTTGCTGGTACCTATGCGGGTGCAAGCTTGGCGCAAAGCTACGCTGGCTTGCTGGCCAGCCATCAAATGTCTTATATTCTTATTTCTGAAATAATTTCATGGCACATTTTCTGTAGAGTCTAGAGGTCAAGCTGATTGATGGTTTGGTTATATAGTTTGGGAGCAGCCTCGAATGAGACTCCATCGTTTTTACAAACTGCATTGGGAATGGCAGATGTACTAGAAATCAGATGCATTTTCAATGATTGCTTTGCGCAGGGCTTTCTTTCCTTGAACACCTTCAGTCGCTGCCTAATGTCGGCAGTGCTGCCGTGCCCCGAGATCCTTGCACCAATCGTGCGCAAGTTTCGGCAGTCTCGCATTTTTTGGAGTCCTAGTGACTGTGGGTTCACCAGTGAAACAGCTCAGGCAAGGTATGGTTGTGGAAGTCGCTCGGCAACAAGGCTGGAGACTTATCATCGTTGCAGTGTTTGGGATGCAGTGATGATAAAGTTTGTGGTTGCTCGAGTGAAGCACTATGTCAGCTGTGCGTCAGCATGATGTGTCTAAAGATTGCTTACGCAGCTGTAATATGTTGCCATTTGGCTCAGAAGAAGAAAACATCCCACTCACATATTCTTTTCCCAGTGAGTGTGCTGGTGCCTCAGTTTGTTCAAAGAACCCCTTGAATTGGGCACACATGGCACTGTCCGAGGCCATGATGCGTGCAGTACGTCGATTCCCAGTATCCAAGGCCAGAGTGTGTGTTCTCTCACCTCATGCTGCAAGATGCTGGTGTTGGAAGGCTTGCAGCTGCGTTGCAATGATTCTTTTTTGCAGTTCATTTTGAGGTGTTTCCACGCAGCTGCTTCCAACATGTGAAAAGCTTAAAGGGATTTCTCAACTCAAGTTTTGCAAAAGTCTAGAAACAGTTTCATACATGGCAGACGCTCCTTTACTGGGTCCAAGGTAGGAGCTCCTAAGCTTAGTAGCTTACCCTAGTTACCAGTGATCGCCAAGAATTTCTGGCTAAATCTTACCCGATTCTCCTGCCCACCCAAAATCTAGGAACCCAATTACTGTACTTTGACTGATCCCCACCCGAAGAGGCGACTTGGAAGAAAGCAGGGCACATGTATTGACAAATTGACAAACTATGCTGACAAACGCTGCCTGACATGTGCATTGACACATTGACACAATGTTCGGACATATTTTCTGGCATGAATTCTGGCATGTGTTCTGACATGTGCCCTGCCATCAAGTCTGACTTGTGTTCTGACGTATCTTGTGGAATGTACTTCTGACAGACGTTCTGACATGTGTTCTCGCATCAAATCTGGTATGTGTTCTGAATTGTGTTATGGGACATTTGTTCTGCCATCAAACCTGCAATGTGTTCCTACATTTGTTCCGATATGATATGTGTTCTGTCGCCTTGTCTCTGACATGTCTTCGGACATTTGTTCTGATGCGTGTTCTGGTGAAAACTGGCAAAAGGACGGTCCATGCCAGCCCAGAGGACCAACGGAGGGAAGGAGAGGACGAGGCCGAGGAGGGTGGAGGGTGGAGGGCAGATGGAGGCGGCAATCAAGGAAGCCGTCCGCCCTCACGTGCGCAGATAGCTTCCTTGAAGAACCTTGAGTACCTAAGCCCAGTGGCTATTGACCTCTTTACCTACTTCACCTACTCTAACTCCTTCTGGTGGCCGACACTCCAAAAAAGTGCATCAATAAACAAACAAGAGCAAAAACATAGTGACATAGTGTGTTTTTGTTTGCATAGGCCTCTGGCCTGGAATGTGCCGAGGCCAGGGCCTTTGCAGCTTCGCCGGAGGTGCCAAAATCTCTTGTTCAACTTCGCTCCATGTTGTGTTTTCTGAGGATAGATTTGATACTTCAACTTATCAATGATAGTGGACCAGTTGGTCTCAGGAGTTATTGACCTTACTTTCTACCACCTCACTGTGCCAACCGTCAGCCTGAAACAAAGATTGGTCTGGCAGAGTTGCAGTGCGACCAGCGTGAGGCGTTCAAGGCAGCCTACGAAGCCCACGTGGCCGAGCGCGCGGCACAAGGTATTCCACCCTTGGCGCTGGATTCCAGCCAAGCCGAGAGTGTGGTGGAGATGCTGAAGAAGGCTTGGGGGAACGTTTTCTTGATTTTGGAACTAGTTGGTGCCATGAGTTTGTTTGTTTGTTTGTTCGTGCGATCTTGAGAGGCACCAGCTGATGGTGCCTTTTATGTGGATCTCCTGCGAAACAGGGTCAACCCTGGTGTGAGGGCATCCTAGAGTGCGCATGCCACATGAATACCGAAGCTGGGCTGGGAATCATCAAGCACACTCAAGTCCATGCGGCCTCAGGTTGATGACTCCAGCTATGTGAAGGCAAACTTTCTGCGTGTGCCACTCAGATGACCACTCTGTTAAGTTTACCTCAAAATCTAGGAACCAAATGATTAGTCCCCCGCCCTCAGGCAGGGGGAGCTTCCTTGAAGAAGCGTGAACTATCCTGCGTCCTACCTGGAAGCTAACTTAGCCTAGTAGTGAACTAGTTTCGCCTTACTTACTGTAATGAAGTAGGCGCGGGCTCTTAAAAATCATGATTTGTGCCCAGGCGACGTGATGCATGGCAAGGTTTCCACACCGCTGATCTCAAAGGTTGATGCAGTCTGACCCTCAAGGTTAGTCAATGTCTATCCTATTGTAATGTTTGTCCTATTGTTTCTCACTCCTATCTATATATATATATATACCCCATTTTCTATTGCATGACCCAGATACATAGACAGCCAATTGAGGCCTGGTCATGTGCTCAGTTGGAACCAAGGTGGAAATGCTCGGATGGATGCAAGGTGGCTACAACGTTGCACCTTTGGTCGAAGCCTTGGATCTTGATCAGGACGGGAAATGAATGGCAGATGCGTCGCAGATGGATGGCAAGATACTTGGATGGTTCCTCTCAATACCCGTGATGGCGGGGAAGGGTTTGTGGCCCACAGGTTCATTGAGCAAACTTTGTTTTGAATGCATACCTCCATCCGCTTACTCGGTTCTGCGGACAGGAGATTGCTGACGCAGCAGCAACCGGTCTGAGTAGAATGTTGCCAGGTTGCACGTGGGACTTCTTTTTCTGTGCTCAATTTGATAGGACATTCGCCAGTGGGCAGCCTTTTTGGATGCACATTCCTGAATCTAATGGTCTAAGGATCCTGATGTTCGATGCATTCTACGATGTGGAGGAGAAGATGAAGAAGGGAAATCCAGTGGCAAAGAAGGTGCCAATCCTGCGCCCACTCTTTTGCAGCATTTTCAAATTTGTCGTGTGACTGCAGACTGTGGCCGAGCCTGCAAATTTGCCCTTCAGGTCATCGAATCCTGGGCCAATGCTGAGTGGTTTACAAAACGACCAGAAGTACCAGAGAAGGTGGGCACACAACCAGCGGTTCTGCCACTGGTGTCTCACTTTCTTGGTTGGAGAGTCCGCAGTTTCTCCGAGCGGCGGTGCAGGTGACCCTTTGCGTTTTCAAAGTGACGGGAGAGACCAACACTGACGATCTCTCGCCAGCTCCAGATGCCTGGTCCCGTCCTGATATCCCTTTGCATGCTCTGGCCATGTTGCAGCTTGGCAAATTTTCGCATGGTTCTGGGCATCTTTGGATCTTTACTTACTGTTTTGATTAATATCATCACCATTGCAATTAGAAAGCCTATCAGTCACTGAGTGTGTTTCCTGACTAGTCAGAGTATTTGTGCTCTTGGTCTCTAAGGAAGTTCCCTCGCGATGGGATCACCAATGCCCCTGAACAGATTGCTGACTTGAAGAAGCATCTTGACCAAATGTGCTGCTGACCTTTGTGTAATATTGCGGTGGACGAGAACAGATTCATTATTTGCTTTGTGCAATCTTATGTTGCGAGGGCCTCCACCTAATAGCGTCCTTGTTACTAGTAGTAATGGCCTCCAACCTAATAGCAGTGGCCTCCCCCTAGTAGCGTCCTTGTTATTCTAACATTTGTATGCTTGAAGCACCTTGAAGCTGCCAGGAAGGGCCATCAGTTGGCCTATGTGGGCGACGTGGTGGGCACAGGCTCCTCGCGCAAGTCAGCCACCAACTCCATCTTGTGGTACATGGGTCTGATGCCCAGATGTCTTCTTTGCAACAGGAACGAAAGCACCATTCTGAGATAATTGCAGTAGACTTCCATGATTCTTGCTCGGTTGAATTTCATCCAAATGGCAACTGTAGACTGTCGTGATGGATCCTGTGATTCCAGGCCAGGATATTCCTTGTGCCCCCAACAAGCGCACTGGTGGCTTTGTGCTTGGTAGTGTCATTGCTCCCATCTTTTTCAATACCATGGAAGATTCTGGTGCTTTGCCGCTGGAGATGGATGTGAAGGATTTGGCTATGGGCGATTTGATCGATCTCTGTGTGTATGAGCAGGCTATCAAGAAACATGGCACAAATGATGTGATCACAAAGTTTGACCTGAAGCACGAGCTGATGCTGGACCAGGCCTTTTCATTTATGTAAATGCAAAAAGTTAGGTTTTTCCCTCCAAAGGAACCACATCATTAGCGTGAGCTATTCCACGCCCATGTGGAGTAGCTTAAGTAGCTAGCAGCTAGAAGATTCCTCCCTTACTTCATTGAGTAAGGGCGGGCTTTAAAGAGTCGGTTTACGTTTACCTGTTTACACTTTTTTGTGCTATGTGAGAAGAGCAGATCCTGGATGTCAGGTCCGAGCTGGTGGCCGTATTCCTTTGATTATTGGTCGTGGTCTCACCAACAGGGCTCGTGAGAGCATGAGCTTGGGACCGACCACCACTTTCAAGCAGATGGCCCAGCCAGAGGTGAATGTGAAGGGATTCTCCTTGGCACAGAAGATGGTGGGAAAGGCCTGCGGCGTGGACGGTGTGGTACCAGGAGCCTACTGCGAGCCTCGAATGGGGACGGTTGGCTCCCAGGACACCACAGGCCCCATGACGCGTGATGAGCTGAAGGACTTGGCCTGCCTCGGTTTCCAGGCTGACCTGGTGATGCAGTCCTTCTGCCATACGGCAGCATACCCCAAGCCAGTGGACGTGCCTCTCTGGCATTAATATCATATTTGTTGCAGTGGGGCCAGACTTTTGTAGCAACATGGTTGAAAAAAACAATTGGAACGATGCAAGATGTAGCATGCGTGAGCAGCGAAAGTAAAAGCACTTCATAGATCATCCCAGAAACTTGTGTGACATGAGTCATAGTCATTCTCAACTCCTGCCCCTGCCTTTGTGCCACAAGGTGATCACCCATCGCACCCTGCCCAAGTTCATCGCTGATCGTGCCGGTGTGGCACTGCGCCCGGGTGATGGGATTATTCACAGCTGGCTGAACCGAATGCTCCTGCCCGACGAGGTCGGCACAGGCCCAGAACTTTCCCTTTTGGATATTTGTCATATATGACAAAAGGACACCT